CAACAGCAGCAACAGCAGAGGTACACGGGCGAGGAACACAGCGAGGAAGCGGATGATCAGGATGACGAGGAGGATGATCGTAGGGAGGAAGACGAGAGGTGTGCCATGAATCGCGATGGTCGTGGCGACGTGGAGGACGAGCAGGATCGCGAGAGCGAGGATAACGAGCACAAAGAGATCTCTTTACCGAGTTTCTCCACTTCTTTAGCAGCTCTGGAGAACCAAGTTCGAACGATCACAACGACGGCCACGTCGACGGCAGGGAATATGGCCAGGTCGCCCCCGTTTCACCGGTACAACGGGAGCGAGAAGAGCAACAGCCCGATGAATTCGGGGGCCCCGTTGGACTTGACACCCCGGGCATCGTCCACTCCCGCTTCGGTGGCTTCCGTGCCAACGCCACCTCCGCAAACCACGACCCAACACCCGCACCCGTTCGGCATGTTCGCAGGCCTGCTGCAAGCGGTCTCATCGTCGCCGTCTACCAGCAGCATCGGTTCGTCGAGCATAAACAGCGTGAGCTCGATGAACGCCGTGACTCCTGGAAGCGGCGCCGCCGGACCCTTGGCTTCCCTGACCACGTCAGCCGTGTTGGCTGCCACGTCGACCTACAACCCGCTCGGCCTGGCTGTCGGAGGGCCAGCAGGTAGGCGCTGCTAGCATCAGGGCGAGCTGCAGTTCCTGCTACACCTCCCGATCGATCTGACACGATTCACTGATCCTGACCAACTGCCAGTCTGACTGATTCGTCCACCTTTATCCAAACTCTGTATATCGACGTATCCTGTTTGTGGTGTAGCCGGACCTAGCACTCCCACCCTCCCGCTTGACTCTTTTTATTATCTGTTCTAACACCTCTGTTTCGATATTTCTCTATGTTTCTATTTCTCTCTCTCTCTCTGTCTCTTTGTCTCTTTACCTCTGTTGTTCTTGTTTTCTTTCTCATTTTCTTTCTCTCTTCTCTCTTTTCTCTCTCTTTCTCTTTCAATTCGAGTCACTCTTCGACATAGAAAAGAAAAGTATATACGGATATAGATACAGAGTTTGCGTGCACAAATATCAATTTTGTATCCCTTTTTTTGCGCAAAAAAAAGATCTAGAAACTATGGATATTTGATATATAAATAAATAAATTTCTTTGGAAAAACGGATTGCTGCCTGTACGATTCATTTCAATCCTTCCGTTCAAACTGCCAACAACGCCAACGTTGACTGTAACGTTGTTTTCGAGCTAGCTTGGATAACGATCGGGTTCGGGTTCCGGAGGCTCGCGTTGACCAGCGTCTCGGCTCTAAGCCGCGTGTCCTAAACGATTAGATTAAAACCTCTCTCTCTCCCTCCTCTCGCGTTCGTGACGGATAGTTTACGCTCGAATCGCGGGTTACAAATTGCTTTCACGGACGGTAGAAGCGTGTGAAAGTGTCGGGAAGCAATTGTAAAGAGGTACGATCTGTTACAGTGCGTGGAAACACCACATGTAATATCTGCTACAAGACATTTGCGTGCAACTCCGCGCTGGAGATCCATTACCGGAGCCATACGAAGGAACGACCTTTCAAATGCACCATATGCGACAGAGGATTTTCGACCAAGGTACAGTGAATTTGAATGCGTTCGATGGATCGGGAGGATCGAATTGGACGCGTCCATCCCTCAGAATTGTTTGCTGCTCACCGAACGAATCTCGAAGGGGGATCGTGCAGCGAGTGGATCGATGGGAATTTCGATTCGAACGACAAGAAAGATTTTGTTCTAATCCTTATCGCACCAATTCTTGAGATTCTTTAATGGATCATTTAAGGATAGATTAAAAAGTTTCGAAAAGGTAGTAATAATTTTAACAGAGATTGATAGAGATCGTTGGAGATCAAAGGTGTGTAGTAAATTTGTTTCCCTAGATATTTTTATTTCTTTTTTTTTATGATATTTAATAGCTACTTTTTACATTTTAATTTTAAGTAATAATTTGTCGTTATGCTCTTGCAATTGGTTACGTACGGAATATAAATTTTTTTAAGTTTGAGATTTAAAATTTTTGAACCGATTTTATGGAGTTTACCTGATAATTTCACACGGATTGAAATATCGAGAAAATTAGGATTATAAAAAATATAATTTCTAAGCTTTTTCTTAATCGTCCATTTACTCTCCTCTCCTCCTCAATAAAATAATAAAATGTTTACAAAAAACAAATCTGTTTAATTATACTACTAGAACTGAAATTTCATCGACCATTTCAAGAGTAACAAATACAACGAAATCTTATAAAGAAGAATATTTATTAAATATATTATAAAAAGATATATTATAAATCGTTGCACGATTCTTTCACGAGAAACATTCATCGCTTCGTCGCTTTTTAGAAACGGAAACTAGTATTTTTAACTAGAGCAATACTAACGCAAAAGCACACTTTTAATTTTTTTCAAAAATTCATCACAATTCGCTCATCGATCATTTGCAAGAATAAATAAATAAATAATTAAATAAAAATCATTGGATCACGATGAACACGAAGCCTATAGGCTCAGCTCTGTATCTTTGTTTTTTTCTACGATAATTTCAGAACGATGGTTCCGGGCAGCAAGCATGCGTCTGTGCGTCTCAACCGTTGCCCGCTAACAGTTCGATCACTTCACCCGATCCTCAATTCGGATCACCGTGCGCCA